GGTAAGATGAATAAATAACATGAAAGGGAAAATTCCACAGCCCTAAGGAGAAAATGCTATTTTATTTTCAGGAGGTAGGCTGTAAGTAGACTTTCTATCAGAAACAAAACTTCCAAACAGATGGCGAGACTCAAAATATTGTGACACCTTGATTCTGTGTTTTGTGCAGAGCTAAAAACAATAGTAGAGTTGGAACTCTCACAGGTAAAATCACCAAAAATGCACAGTCACACTTTGATAGAGTGAGAGGCTCTGAAATCAACAACTCTTTGGCAAGTGAAAAGTGCCTCCGAAGACACGCTCCAGAGTGCTTTCCATTTTAACCTTAAATGACACCAGTGCTTTAGTACAAAGGAAATCAGCTAAAAAGATAAATATCCATATGGTAACTGTATTAGTCTGCCTGGGCTGCCATAACAAAATACCATATTTATCTTTATTAACTATCTCATTTTTGATTAGAGTTTTGACTTTGAAATAAATAATTGGGTTCACTTCCTGTAATTTATTTTAAAATGCCCCCCCACTCATTCTTTACTGAGTCTTAGAAAATTTAGTTTCTCAATGTCTTTGCATTTGTTGTGTTTTTTTTTTTTTAGTAATATCCTACATTCTCTCCACTCTGTTCTTATCTTCTATGTTTCTGTCACATATCTTTTTCCAAGAAATTAGTTAAAAAGAGGTAAGTCAAAAAGCATCTTTTTGGAAGGGAGCACCATCCGAATCATTTGTCTGGCCTTCTGTGTGGACAAGCTAAATCAACAGAGCTAACATTTAAGTAGCAAACAGAGTTTTAAAAAGCGATAAACCTGCGCTCGCCTAGTGGTAGGAAGTAATTCACTCCTCTTCTATTACTATCCTTTGGTTCGTTTTACATATAGATGGGGAAAAAATCTAACATCAAGAATTTAGCATATTAAACACAAAATGATAAGGTTTCACTAAGCATTGGCAACCTGAAAAAACTTAATTTGCTTCTACATGACTTTGAATTGAAATCAAGGTCTCGAAATATTCTGCTGTGAGTGATGAAGCTGTCTGGACTTTAGTTTTCCCAGAAGGTGAGAAACCATTTGCTATAATGTAAAATGGCATTTGGAGAGTCTGGTGAAATGCAATTGCTTTCCTTCACTTTGCATTTTACCCAAATGATTGTGAGGTGCAACCTACTGACAAGATAGATTTCTTTCTGTATTGCTCTTGTAAATTGGTTTTCTCATAGTTTTCATGGGCTTCGTAAATCCTGCTGATACAAATCGTAAAAGATCAGCCAACATAAAAGCAACTGGAGAATCATAAAAAATAATTCAAAAATCATTCTCATCATTTTATTATCAATCGGATTAGAATTACTACAGAAAGAGTAATATTAATGTCAGTATTATTTTTTCTGGGTGGTAATGGAGTTTTTTTCTTTTTATTAATAGTCAATTAGCCCTTACTGTATCTTAGATGAACGATTAATAGACATTTTTTAAACTTTCAGAAAGCACAATGACAAATGGGATAATTAACAGTAAGATTCTTAAGAAGGATCTCATACCCTTTGGGACAGTATGGA